GACCTGATGCAGTGTCAGATGATGATATTCAGATGTATTCTTCTAAAGCTATCTTAACTCTTTGGGTGAAATCCCAGCCCCACTAAAGTCAACAGGAGTTTTGTCATTTATTTCAGTGGGGTCAGGATTTGAACTCTGGTGCAGGCAGTTACGCCTAGTCTACACTAGGAAATCAGGGTGATCCATACCCCAAGCATTGCAGTTAAACTGACCTAACCCCCCAGTGTAGACAACAACACTAGGTTGATGGGAGAAGTCTCCTGTTCACGTATCTACTGCTTATCAGGGAAGTGGATTACCTGTACGAATGGGAAAACCCCTTCTGTCAATGTAGGTAACATCTTCACTAAAGCACTACAGTGGAGCCACTGCAACGTTTTAAGTATAGACAAGTCATTAGTTTTGCTCACCAAACTGTCAGCAATGGGTACAGCAGGAACCAATTACATAACAGTAATAATAAATAAATAAATAATAATAACAACCCTTCTTAAAGTACAGTTCATGGCCCAATAATCTTTTTAAAAGAGAGATCCAGAGTTAAGGCAGAAAATATGGGCCCAGCCCTTTGAGGTATTGAGAACCTCCTGCAAGGTGCTAAGCACCATCAACTCCCAACGGAACTGGTCTCATGCCATTAACTCACACCATTGTGGTTAAGGAAGGGCTCAATTCTGCTCCTTCTGAAGTTAATGGAAGTTTTGCCATTGACATCAATGGGGAAAAGACTGGGTCCTATTACTTTTACATATCAAATATGCTATTATCACTCAATATAAAAAGCTGGGAGTCCATAAATCTAAAACTGTAAATTCCACAATGAAAGAAATTCAATCAGGCTATTAATATTAATTTGCAACAAATGTTTTGTATAAACAAAGACCTACTTGCGAATGTATGAGATACTCTGATCAATTTTAGCTCAATGACACGATTCATTTTAATAACTCTTCTCTTGTGTCAATATTAGTTTGCATACTAAAATATCAACATTATATAATCTAAATACTCTATAGTACATGTGCAGTAATCTAAATGGAACTTAGAGCATGTCTTAAATATGCAAACTAAAAAGGCTTTCAAAGATAGATTTATAAATATCAATATCATGACCTTTTTTATTTGGTAACGGTAGTAATCTTGTTGACTCAGTAAGTTATTTTTACATGTGTGTTCTTTGAGATACGGATTATACCTCCTATACAACGTTTGTCTATTTCTTTTTCCTAACTAGTCAAGTAAAATAATTACTTGTCTTGTTTTATTTTATTTATTTATTTAGTTTTGTGGCCTGCAAAATCTTTTATCTTTTCCCCCAGAATTAAAACAAAAAACAAAACAAAATCCCAAAGCAGTGTTAGAACTGAAGGCACCAATCCTTCAAAGGGACTACTCAGGTGCTTACATTTAGGCAGGACCAGAGTCTTTGAAAGCAAGGTCTTAAGCCTGTGCTCACTGAAGTTAACGGTAAAATTCTCACTGTGCAGGATCAGGGCCTATACACACACAATCTTTTTGTTTTTGGCACTCCTAAAATATATAAATGGCTGGAACAACTTACACGAAGATAGTAAAAATAAACAAAAGTATGTTTCCCAGTGAGATGTTGTATGGCAAACTCTAACCCATGGCAAATTTTTAGAGCAAGTTATAAACTCCTAGAATTGGTGAATGAGTGTTATTTGGACTCTATCAAGCATGACAGGTCTGGCTTAATGGTTAGGGTTCACTTGCTTAGTTTTTGTTGACAAAACCCTAATATGAGAAATATATTGAAAGGCATTTTTATTTTCAACACAAAATGTAAGCATTCCCTCTAGTGTTGGAAACTAGCACAGAACAGCATTATTGTACATAAATATCAAAAAGTGGGCTTGACTAGAGACAAAAAATGAAACTAACCAGCCTAGTTATATTGTTCAAACTGGTGAAAGTGAAAAAAGTAGGCAAACATCTCAAATGGTACATTGACACACTTGAGTGATTTTGCTCACATAAGATGTCTTATTAAAGATACATACTTGCCGAATTGCTTACAGGACCGGGGCATATATATTTAGAATTCTTTCATGTGAAATACTCTACATTCTTAATAGTTAGAATGTTTAATATATATTATCTTAAATCTTCTTTTAACAATGGAAGTGCTACTTTTGATCCTGATCCTGTAACTGTTCTGTGGGTCAGATCCACTTCCCATTAAAGTCAAAGACTGCCACTGAATTCTGTGGGACCAGAATTAAGCTCATATTGGGCCAGATCCTACAAGAGCTCCATGCATGGCATACCTTTGAAGATAACGCCCAATATAAGGGTTAATACCCAGGCTAGTGGTGACTACCAAGCTGGAATTCAAATGAGGAATTCTGATGTTGCATTATTCTGGCATGTTTTATGATAGCTTCATAATCCTTCAATGGAATTGTATGCTAGTAATTACCATTTACTCTTGCACTGTCATTTCTAGTCTACAGAAAGGGCCTACTCTTTCAAACCCTTACTTAAATAATAATGATATTTAGCATTTTTACAATGTTTTATATGCTAAACCATTGTACAGATATTAGTTAATTAATCTGACATGAATCATCCTTATTTGTGCAGTTAGTTTCACTGAAGTCAATGTGACTACTTGCAGCATGATAAGAATTAACCATGTACATTTTTGCAGGATCAGTGGTTATATATTTTCAACATTTATATTCTTATGACATTAAGATATATGTTCCCATTAAACTAATAGTCAAGAGAAGATAATGTTTAAAATATAAAAATGGAATTAGGATTCTAAAGTGTCTGCACTTTCAGCTGTTGCACTTATGCAATGGAATCAAGATTATATAACATGAGTCTGATTACAAAAAAACATGGCTCTCATTACACAGTGCATGGATTCTATTACAGGATAGTAATCTATCACAGATTATCAGGCTATAACTGACAAGTATATATTATATTACTGTTAATATATATTTTAACTTGCATTGCACAGTGCATGGCTTTCAAATTTCCCTTTTATGGCTACTTGCCTATTAAATTATTGGCAATAATTTTAATTGAGCATTTTTACTTTATCTCACAAATACACATCAATATACATACATGACTTTTTCATATTAAATACCTAAGATCAAACTGCTGGCAGACCTCTAATAAATGTTGGCTTGAACAGATTTATTTCAACAAAAAAGAAAAACTTTGCTTTGAAGAAACCATCCTTCCTTTGCAACCAGAAAACAGAATTTTATTTCAGAAATCCTTTTGGTGATTAAAAGAAGAAGATTGTGAAATTTTACAGTGTGTTCAAGACTAATGTTTAATTGATTAGTAATCTAAGTATTTTATTTAAAATTTTTCATATTGAGCCATGTTATGAATAAACAAAACATTTAAAACAAAATTATACCATTAAACCTTCCTTTGACCCTTTTCAGTTTAGGGGTAGAAACAAACCACCTTTGAATTCCAAGGTGACCTATGGAAATTGACATCTTCAAGTGAAACAAGGCATACAGTACAAACTAATTGAATAAATGTGTAGCAGACCTAGAGCCAGACTGAAAGAGGAGGTGAGGACTGTGGAAATGTCTTTCCCAAAAGGGTCAGACAAGGTTCAAGTAAAGTAATCTAAATAAACACCTCCTTTATGGGCCAGTCTGTGAAGCTACTGATGAGCAGTTACTCACACAAGCAGTCCCATTAGTGAATGTGAGTAAATCTGTAACAATAATGTAATTATTTATTAAACAAATGACCCACCCTAAAGATATCCAGTGAATTTATTTACCTTTGTTCAACGGAAAGAAGATTTTGCATTGTCTACTATTGCTAGAGGACATGGACCTGTGTGTGTGGGCAAAGTGGAAAGACAACATTTCAAGGACACACTAAATGATCAGAAAACCACCTTACATAGACACAGGTAACTTGCACATTGTAATGAACATAAAGAAGGACTGGCGAGAGATCTCACAAAAAATATTTATTCATTATAAATATTTCATGAAAATCTCATTTTCAATGGTGTTCTAAGGGAGAGAGAGAAAAAGGAATACAACAGTAGTATTTCTTCTTGGCTAAGAGCAAAACATCATTTGATATCTAGTACATCCTCTGTTGAGGAACTACATATTCTGTTCTGGCTGGAGGACTCAAAAGATATTTTCCAGGGCTAGCCATTATGAACCTAATGTATAGTAAACTATTACTTGATTAGTTTTTTAGACAACAAGATTTTAAAGCTGCACAGCAATGTTGATAGCTCAGCACTGGGCAAGAATTGTAGCCTGAGTGTAACTAATGTCAAAGAGGCAAACCTATGTTTAGAGCTGTCAAAAACCAGGTGCTGAGGGAGTCCCAATAATTGTCCACTATCCCATCTGGTATTTTATCTGTGCAATTCTTGCGAGGGCAGGAAGAAGCCAGATAAAAGTCTGGAAGCAGCAGTTCAAGGTAGTGTATCACAGGGATACTTGTCTAAAGCAGGAGGCCAGCCAGTCTAGGTTGACTAGTGGAAGGAGGCTTTAATTCAAGATAGAACAAATGTCACCTGAAATCTGGAAGATAATTTGCTCAATAAAAAGGGATTGTCTACTGGGGATGGCTCCTCCACCAGCTTTATATATTTAGCAAATTATAATGTCAGCTACAGGACAAAATATATAAAAGGGGGGATTAAGCCATTCCTTTCAGATCTCCCCCCCTCCGCCGTTACCATTGCATATAACTGAAACGAGAGGTTCTCCAAGCACCTGACCCACATGACTGACGCTATCGCCCTTGTGCAGTAGGGAAGTGTTATTATCCCCATTTCACTGAGGAACAGGGAGAGCGGGTGACCCTTCACCTTGGTATCTTGACCTGGTCAAGGTCATACAGGGAGCCATTGGCCCAGGAGGTCAGATCCTGGGAGCAGGCTGTGCGGGAATAGGGGCTTAAACCCCTGCAAGTAACGAAACAGCTGACACCGCACAGAACCCCGGGGTCCCCCAGCCCCTTACCTGACCCTTCACCAGGCTGGCTGCGAACTGCCTCATGACCGCCTCCACGGTGTAGGCGCTGGACCAGCCACGAGGGGTGAGCAGCTCCATGCAGATGGCCCCGCCGTCCAGCACGTAGCCATTTTCCAGGCGGGGGCTGAGCACCCTCATGAAGGGTGGCGAGAAGGGGAAGTTGTCGGGGAAGGTGAGGTTGAGCAGGATGAACTCGGTGTTGGTCTCCTTCATGTCCTGCCACAGCACCGAGTCCTTGTCCACCTGGTGCAGCTTCACGTTCCAGTCGAACAGGCTCTCGTCCACCAGCTCCACCGAGATGAAGCGGTCGCTCAGCCGGGCGATGTCCTGCAGCTCCTTCATCAGCCGCCGGCTCCGCACCTGCGTGCAGTGCTGCTGCCTGCCCAGGGGCGCCAGCGGGGCAGAGCCCGACGGGGGCGGCACCAGCTGGGCAGAGCCGGCCCGGCCGCTGCTGCTCCCCCCCGGCAGCAGCTGCGGCTTGGGCTCCTTACCCGAGCCGGACTCCCTGGCGCTGTGGTGCGGGGGCTTCTCCTTGTGGCTCCCTGAGCCAGGCTGCTGCGGCGGCTGCTTGGAGAGCTCCAGCACTTTCTTGGCCTTGTTGCCCGCTGGGCTGCCCTCCTTGCTGGGGCTGCTGCTGCTGCTGCAGCCGGCGCTGCCCTGCTGCTTGTTGCTGCAGTTCTTCTGGCTGCCCTTGGCTCGGAGCGAGGAGCCCTGTTGGCTGCTGCGGTGGTGGTGGTGATGGTGCTTGGGATCCTCCGTGTCCCTGTTGTGCAGCCGGATGAGCCCGATTTTCCGGAGCAGAGTGGCCATGTTGTGTTTGGCGGTTTCTGTTGTAGTCGCTGCCTGGCGAGCCCCGGCGTGGCCCCTCTGCAGAGAGCAGGGCGCTCCTTGGCGTGAGTGAGGGCGACAGAAACGTCTGAGCCCGAAGCAGGGAGGGCGGGAGAGACAGAGAGACGATGGGGAGAGGCGATGCAGCTTCTACTCAGACGCCTCCTTTCACCGGGGCTGCCGCTGGCAGCATTGCAGCACTATAGCTGCTCCCGGAGTCACCAGAGCTCCACTGCTATGGCCATAACCCCCTCGAAAGGGGGGACACCCCCTCCACACACACACACCCGGAGAGGTGCTTCTCCTGCAGATGGCCGGCTGCTTACCGACTAACCTGCAGTTAATATCGAGCCACGAGCTCTCCCCGCGGGATTTACCCTTCGCTGCTTCTTCCCCGCGCCCCCTCCCTTCCCTCGCTAGCCTTGGACCTGCTGAGGTACCAGATTTCCCTCCTCCTCCTCCAGCTGGTGCGTGAACGTCGCTCTCGATTCTGTCGGCTGCAGGTTTCTCCCTGCGAACGGCGGGATCCGTTCGGCTCCTGAGTATCCCCCTCTGCCTCCCCGTTTCCCTCTCAGCGGCGGCAGCCGGGCAGCTCCTGGCCTCGGCTCTTTGTTGTGGAATCCGCTCCAGCCAGGCTCGGGGCGCTGCGTGTGCCGACGGGGCTAGTTTGGGCTGACGGAGTAATACAGCGAGAAGGCGGGTGAGGGGAGTAGGGAATCTCCGATCGCAGCCCAAGCCGTCCTTCCCCCTTCCCTCCGTTTACCTTCTCCTGGCACGGGGGGGGGGGCGCTTTGGGGGAGCTGCCCCCGCACTACGCCCGCCCTGCCTTGTCTCTGCAGGTTCCCCGCTTCTGCGGAGCTGACATTGCAGAGGCCGCTCAGTCTGTTGCTCTGCAGGCGGAGGAGGAGGCGGGACACTGGGGAGGGGCCAGGCTGTTGCTCGTACGGTGGCAGGAGCCACTGGCTGGAGAAGAATTAAAATGTTCCTTTAATAATGGTGGGGAGTTGGTTGGGGACCGCCGCCTCTTCATCCCCTCAACATGAACAGGTTTCTCATCCCATTACAGATTTCTCAGCCCACCTGCTCCCCCCAAACGCCCAGGCTAATGTAGCCCCATGGGGTTGTGACTGTGCACAGAGAGAAGACAACCATCAGTATCAGAAACGTGATCGCTGGGTGCTGGATCCATACAACTGCTTTCCCCTTCAAAGACTGAAAAGGGAAGAGAGACACTTTCAGCTGGGGAGGAAGAAAGGCAAAGGCTGAAAAATAAATACAGCTATTCATCAGTGAATACATAGTAATGGCCAGTGTGTGTGTCCCTGTTGATATTATATTCTATAAAATCTATGTCAAGTCAGTACCTGATGAAGGAATAAATCTGTTACAGAATTAGATGTCCTTTGCCCCTTGGTGTGCCCTGGGGAGGCCTCCACTGTGGTTTGGAAGAGCGGCCTGTATTGGGAAGGGATTTGTGAACTCCTTTAAGCCATTTTGGAAACACTGTGAAGGAAACTTAGCAGGCTTCTTAAATGATATGTGCAAATCATAGTATGTTATCAGCAGCAACCATATTTTTTGATCTGAGTAACTGCTTCTTGACACAACTCTAAGGAATTTTGGAGACACCCTTTACTTTTCATCCCTATTTTTTTCTCCTTGCTATTAACAGGTCACTCGTTTTGTCAGGTAATACTGCATGTGTCAATTTAGCATGTTACAACCAGTTGCAATAACCATTTTTACAAGTTATATGGTGTAAAATGCAGATTAATTTAATACAAACAGAAGAAACAAATTAATGACATCAGTTTGATTTGCCATAATTTTAAAGAGCTTTTAGAAATCAAGATCCTAAAAATAATTGACAAATAGCATTATACAGGTTGAACCTCTCTAGTCTGGCTCCCTTGGGACTGACCAGTGCCGAATCAGAGAATTTTCTGAACCACAGGAGGTCAATGCAGAGTGCCAGCGGGTCTCCATAGGCACGGGAAGTAGGGGTGCACAGGGGCAGCAGGTTTGTATAATTTTTGGTGGTGCCCAGAACAGGTCCAAGTCCTGCCCCCAACCCAACCTGCCTTGGAAGCTGATATATATATATTTAAATAATGTAAAAATGTGAGGACTGGGGCTGGGGATGAGGGGTTTGGGGTGTGGGAGGGGCTCAGGCAGAGGGTTGGAGTGTAAGGGGGTGAGGGCTCTGGCTAGGGATGCAGGCTCTGGGGTGGGGCAGGGGCAGGGATGAGTTTGGGGTGCAGGCAGGCTGACCCCTGTCTGGGGCCAGAGAGGAGGACTCCCCCCAGCCCCCTCCCCACTGGCAGCACACTCACCTCGCACCGCTGCCACTGCACGTGCTCCTCTGAGGTCCAGGAAGCCCCCTCGCCTCCCCTGTGATGGGTGGAAGGGGGCTGCCATCAGGTGTGCACCTACTCCCCTGCTGCTGCCCCTCATTGTAGTCTCATTGGGGTGGGGGCTTCCCCTTGCTCAGCATGGAGCAGGAGTGGGCAGGGGGCTGTGCTGGTTGAGGGTCCCGCCAGAAAAGGGAAGGCTCCGTCCATTCGAGGTGGAAGAGCAGAATCGGAGTCAGCATGCCGTGGCCCTAGTGCTTGGGGGGCGCTAGGACCCTGCGGCGACAGTTGATGCTGGGAGCCAGCAGAGCGCAGCACAGTGTGGAGCTGTAGGTGGCAGCCGCCCGTTGCCCAGGGTGCAGGCAAGGATGCTCGGGGAAGGTGCGCGGGAGGAGCAGGCGGGGCCATGGGAGAGACCCAGCCCTGAACATTGGTGGAGCCGTGCCCCTGGGCCCTAAATATTGCTGGAGCACGGGCACCACGGGCCCATATAACTTGCCGCCCCTGGAGGTGCGGGGGCTGATGCAGCAGCCCCAGGCTTTGCACCCAGCGTGGCCCTCCACCCGGGGGCTCTGATGCCGGCCCCAAGTCTCAGCCACTGGCCTCTCACCCGGGGTCCCAGCCGCCGGCCCCAGGTCCTCCCCCTTCCTCCCTCCCAGAGCTTGGATGCCATGAATCAGCTGTTCGTGGCACTCCAGAAGCGCTGGGAGGGAGGAGGAGGAGTTGGTAAGTGTGAGGCCGCCAGCACACGAGAGGCACGGGGGGAGGGGCAGGAGGGGGAGCTTGGCACCTGTGGATGCTCCGCACCCACTATTTTTTCCCCGTGGGTGCTCCAGCCCTGGAACACCCACAGAGTCGTTACCTATGCTGGACCATGGATGTTACCGGACCAGGGAGTGCCTGATTAGAGAGATTCAACCTGTATTGATTTCTCAGCTATGGTATCATTGAAGGCTCTATCCTGCAGGTGAAGTCAGTGATCCAGTGAAGTCAGTGAGAGTTTTGCCTTCAGTGGAAATAGGAGGGGTCCAAAAGGAACACTGATCGCTTTAAAAATTATTTAAAACAAAACAAAGTTCCTTGCCTCCGTTATAAATGACACTTTGATTATTAAAACTATAATAATTTTAAACATCTATACTGTTTGTTTACTGGTTGCCTTTCTTGAAGCTTAGACAAGGATAGTCAGTTTCAGACTTTTTAGACATCTTTTTACATCATGCTACTGATGTAAGTTCCCTAGGTGACCTTACAGTAGTGGAGGATCATGCAAAGTGGAGCTCTGCTCTGTCCCTTTGCCCCCTAACACATTCCCTCCTTTCAGCTATGCTACGGGAAGGGAGTTTTTTTGTGCAGGGGACAGAAGGACAAAGCTGACACAGGAGGCAGAGATCTCACTTGCACAAGAGGAGTTCTCTGATGGCCATTTATGCCAATTTCAGTCCATTTTGAACACTTGAGCAACACAAAGTAGATACAGTGGTTAGGAGAATCCGGCTGCTAGTATAGATCATTTTTTGGCAGCTGCCAACATTTTAAGCACTGCGTCCACTAACACTGCTCAAAACAAAGATGTAATTTACTTTTGATACTTAAACATTGGCTGCAGCCTATGTCCTGTCTACTTCAAGGCTCTCAAAGTTGCTGGTGTAGCTGACACTAGTGTTAGTGACTCTGAGGAATTTTTGTCAAATTTCCCTAGTGTAAGCAAGCCTGAAAATAGCTGGGACCCAGCACAATGAGGAGTTCAAATATCATAACCAAAACACTGAAATTAGTGCACAATTGGATAAAGAGTTTGTGGAGTACACAGAGCACTCTATTATCCTGTAAGTAATGGCAGATGCCAAATGCCAACATACTATATACTGATTCTTGCCAATTGCCAACCACATTCCAGTTGGCCACTTCGCCAATCTCCACACCCTAGTTCACACTGAATGCAAACTCCATCCTCTTGAGTTCCTGTACTTCCTCCACACAGCCACAATAAAGGTCAATCACAACCCCTGTTATGGACAAAGGGTATGTCTACACTACGGGATTACTCAGAATTTACAGAATTCATTTTTTGGCAACCGATTGTATAAAGTCGAGTGTATGCAGCCACACTAAGCACATTAATTCAGTGGTGTGCGTCCATGTACTGAGGCTAGCGTCGACTTCCAGAGTGTTGCACTGCGAGTAGCTATCCCATAGCTATCCCATAGTTCCCGCAGTCTCCTATGCCCATTGGAATTCTGGGTTGAGATCCCAATGCCTGATGGGGCAAAAAACATTGTCGCGGGTGGTTCTGGGTACATCCTCCCCCTCCCTCTGGGAAAGCAACGGCAGACAACTGTTTTGCGCCTTTTTTCCTGGGTGAACAGTGCAGACGCCATACCACGGCAAGCATGGAGCCCGCTCAACTCAAGACAGCAGTCATGAACATTGTAAACACCTCGCACGTTATCGTGCAGTTTATGCTCAACCGGGACCTGAAAAAACAGGCAAGGAGGAGTCGGCTACAGCAGCGCGATGACGAGAGTGATGAGGACATGGACACAGAAGTCTCTCAAACCGCGGGCCCCGGCGCTTTGGAGATCATGCTGTTAATGGGGCAGGTTATAGCCATGGAATGCCAATTCTGGGCCCGGGAAACAAGCACAGACTGGTGGGACCGCATAGTGTTGTGGGTGTGGAACGATTCCCAATGGCTGCGAAACTTTTGCATGCGTAAGGGCACTTTCATGGAACTTTGTGACTTGCTTTGAAGCACCAGAATACCAAGATGAGAGCAGCCCTCACAGTTGAGAAACAAGGGGAGATAGCCCTGTGGAAGCTTGCAACGCCAGACAGCTACTGGTCAGTCAAGAATCAATTTGGAGTGGGCAAATCTACTGTGGGGGCTACTGTGATGCAAGTACCCAAAGCAATCACTGAGCTGCTGCTACCAAAGGTACTGACTCTGGGAAATGTGCAGGTCATAGTGGATGGCTTTGCTGCAATGGGATTCCCTAACTGTGGTGGGGCGATAGGTGGAACCCATATCCCTATCTTGGCACCGGAGCACCAGGGCAGCCAGTACATAAACCGCAAGGGGTAGTTTTCAATGGTGCTGCAAGCACTGGTGGATCACAAGCGACGTTTCACCAGCATCAATGTGGGATGGCCAGGAAGGGTTCATGACGTTCGTGTCTTCAGGAACACTACTGTGTGTGAACGGCTGCAGCAAGGGACTTACTTCCCAGACCAGAATATAACCATTGGGGATGTTGAAATGCTTATAGTTATCCTTGGGGACCCAGCCTACCCCTTAATGCCATGGCTCATGAAGCCATACACAGGCAGCCTGGACAGTAGTCAGGAGCTGTTCAACTACAGGCTGAGCAAGTGCAGAATGGTGGTAGAATGTGCATTTGGACATTTAAAGGGTTGCTGGCGCATGTTACTGACTCGCTCAGACCTCAGCCAAACCAATATTCCCATTGTTATTGCTGCTTGCTGTGTGCTCCACAATCTCTATGAGAGTAAGAGGGAGACCTTTATGGCGGGATGGGAGGCTGAGATAAATCGCCTGGCCTCTGATTATGCAAA